TAGTTACAGTTGAAATAACAAAATGATCAGGCAATCAATACTGATTGCCTGATCATCAATTGTTTAGTCACAGCGACACACAAATTATATTTCAAATTCCGTTTATGCTAGAGCGATGGTTGTTGAACAAATGTGTCGGAGGTTCAACTCCGTTTGTTTTATAGATAGGCAACTTAGTTGTCGCAACAGTTTAAGATATTACTTAATAATTACTAAATGATACAACCAGTGTCAATTTTTTCAACGAGCTTTTCTTCATACAAATGTTATCACATAAATGACATGATGATCTATATAAACACAACAACTTCCTTAATGTGACGTCAGCTTCAACCACTAATTCAGGAGTTAGGCTTGTTTGTTATGAAAGAAAATCTTTTCAGCTATATGTTAGCATCAAATACTGTGAAGTGAAAATAGTTACAGTAGAAGTAAGTACAATAAGTAAATGAAAGAAATGTACATGTATAAATGAATAAACAAGTGGCTAAACAAACAAATAAACGAACACAAGTCGAAATGCATATGTATAATATGGCTGGGAAACAGAAATAGCAATAGCGAAGCTAGTCGAGTCTGCTTCTCAGAGTTCGAAATACTTGATAATAAATGTTTTGTAAAATTGACTAGAACCAAACAAAAAAACAATGAATATAGATGTGTTAAATGTGCAGTAACACTCGTTTACTTGGGTACAATGGTCAAACAGTTCAGATCGCTCTATATAGGGGTGAACAACCTCCTTTGTATTCACATGCAAATGAATTGAAAATGACACTGCATGGAATTCAATAGTATCAGCGTTGTCAGTAAATCAGTAAAAATGCCATAGTATTACGCATTTTGTTAAAATTACAAATTCGACACTTGCAAATAAGATACATATAGTAATGTATATGAAGACAGTGTCAATTTATTCACTGGGAAAATATGACATACATTCAATTGTTGTTGTAATAAATTATTGATGATTTGTCAGTCAGAAAATAGTCTCAACATATCATCCCAGTTATATCTAATAAAACATTTGTAGCTGTCGTCGCCACGCATTTTAAGATTTCTACTATGTATATATTTGTTTTTATAATTTTTACATTCTTTCTATATTCCTTTGAAAAGTACACCGTTTTGCTTGTAACTATTAACTGAATAACTAAGTTGTCAAACATGCTGTTATTTTTAAAACGTTATAGATTGATTAAGGTAATTCACAGAAGTGCAGATGTATATATAACTTACTCTGAATAAATTGGTCATTAAATGTCACTACTCGAAAAAGAAATATATTAAAAGCATGAATACGCTAATTAATCAACTTATTTTAAAATATTGGATGGTCTGAGATGAGTTTGGCAAAAAATCAGAATGATGCCAGTATTATATTCATCTCAAAGAAATATGAATGGTTTATATTCTGAAGCTATCGGATTGAAAAATAAACATTTGAATGTATTTCCGAGATATGCAATACTTAATTAGTACAGCAGTCAGTCTTCATCTCATTCTGGTGTTCTGAGTCAAAAACGAAAGTACAATAATATGAACACAATGCTATAGTTATTTTAGCAGTCGTGTATTTCAATTAGTTTCGTTAACTGTTCACATGAGTGAAATATTTATATATTATAATCATCGTTTCATTGCATACAAATATTACAACATGAACAGTCAACATGAAATTTTCTTTGTGAATAAAGTAGGAAACAAATGTCATATTAATCGATGTAATCTGTGAAAAGGCATTAGGTTGCTCTGTATTTACCTTTGTCGTGTTTATTACCTCATATGTAGATTTTGTGTTTCTTGTTTCCGGTGAAAGGGAGGTATAATTACTGTCTTCAGCGTTCTGCAATTAAATATAATGTACTACAATGTCTAATCACCTTCATGATTCATTTGGTTTATTAGTCAGTTCAAAAGCATTTGTAGTTTTCTATAAACTAAACAAATACAATTATAAACGATTATATTTGAATAATGTGTTTACTCTGTTACTCTATGCGATTGTTAAGTCTTTAATATGTTCTCTTACCTCATCTGCTTTTAATGTAGGTCTTTCATATACATGCACTGCATATTTAGTCATTGTAGAAAGTGTTGTATAATTATCACCTGAATCCGATATAGACTTTAACTTTAAAACAAATTACAGAATATCAACATAAAACACATAATTTTTCAAACAAACAAAATTATTTTAAACAAATACATGGATACATGTTTTTACCGCTTATACGTAAATGAAGTTGCAGATAACAATACCAACCTATGTGTCAATATCCACGCTAAGTACCACACAGAAAATCATAGAAAACACAATTATTAACTCGTCATTATTTAACATAGAACATACCTGTTTAGAGAAACTTCGTTTAAGACGTATAAAAAATGCGATGATATTGCCAGTCACTGAGCAACAAAGTAGAACTGTAAATAATGCCGCCATACCGACACTCACGGTGCAGGAATTCTGATCAGTTGCTAGAAGAATATACAAATTATGATTTAAATACCCAAACACAGCACGTATGATTTCAATAAATAAAATATAACGTCACAGGTTGTGAATGGATATTCAATCTCTATACATGTTTTTATATTATATGTTTTAATATATATATATATATGTATGATAAACTGGATATGGTCGGTGTGTTTGCATTTTTGTGAATGATATTCAATCTCTATACATGTTCTTATAGTACATGTTGCTATAAATATACAGGAGCGTATAATTAACTGCCGCAAACCTGGCCCTGATCCCGCTGCCTGGACTTCGATATCCGCGTATGATTCTCCAAATTGACAGCGATAAGTTTTAACACCTTGTGCATCAAATACAGTTAACGTCGTGGTCTGTTCAACACCTTCCACTGGTTCAATATCATAGCCTTCATAAAAAGGATCTAATTGTGTGTAATTTGACCTATCTTGTAGAAACCGATCCCAAATCTCGTTATCGGGAGATGGTGGTACAGCATCTGTGCCACATTCTAACACGGCGTCAGACCCTGCTACGATTTTGAGGGGACTCTCTGTGATAGCGTTAACTTTGGGTTCGTCTACAAACAAACAGGATAAATAGTTTATGTAAAACCTAACATTTGATTGTTCAGGAAAGTGCCACAATATATGAAAGGAACATTAATTTGAATTAAATATATACATAGAGACGTAAGACTGATCAGCCACAAATCACACCATTCATTTGACGGGAAGTAGCTCAAATCAATAACTGTTTGGATATTTGTCAACTAGAATACAGTACATCACATATTATTTTATTAACGATAATTATAGACATCAACACCATGACAGATGTAAACGGCAGTTCTTTGACACATTTACGTCACAGATGTACTTCTATCGCTAGAAGGTAGAATTTAAATGAAAGACATTGTAACCAAATGTCTCTGCAAGTATACTATATTAGTACGTACACGTCATACTTTAAACTTTGTCATTGTACACCATGCTATACATACGTATACATATATTATATAGTATATATTTGCATGGTTTGTAGACTATTTAGTCATATGGTCTACTGGATCCCATAGTGTTTGTAGCTGTACATATTGCCTCTGATGTCACTATAATGTGAACACATTGTATAC